TCGCGGCGATGAAATCGCGTGAACTCTGTCTTGGGCCTATACTGGAGACTAGTTCTCGTTGCTTTGGTCATATCGCATAATCACGCCGTGACCTGACAAGACCCCTTTTTTCCCTAATAGAATGCGAATTTCATAGTTTGACGAAAATGATGATCACCTGGAGAAAAGTGAATCTTCCAGAATGCGAGCTTTGTCTCATGGCAAGGATCCTTCATGTAGCTGCCCTTTCGATAAGAAAAGGAGTGGCTTTATTTTAAGTGAGGGTGTCGGGTTACTGCTATTGGAGCGGTTACAGGTAATAAGCGGATTTTGAATTTAAAAAAAATGTTATATTTTGATTAGGATGCCCTTGACAGAGGTGCTACAATTCTCGCTGAAATCATTGGTTACGGTGAGACCTTTGGTTTACTTTTTGAGTCGATTTCAATTTGCTTTTAATCTTTCTTCTAGGAATTTCCTCCGATTGCTACCACATTTCGAGTCCAGATCCATCCGGCATCGGAGCTCGACTTTCCATGCAAAGAGCCATTGAAGATGCCAAAATCAAACCAGACGATGTGACATACGTCAACGCTCACGCGACATCGACACCAACTGGAGACACGATTGAAGCGCTAGCGATTCGAGAAGTCTATGGAAAAAGGAACCTGGCAGTGTCATCGATAAAAGGACACATTGGCCATCTCCTTGCTGCTGCTGGCTCTGTTGAAACTATAGGGACGATAGCGGCAATTCTCGAGAGGAAGTTACCTGCAAATTTGAATCTCAGCGAAGCGGACGAAGGCGACGCTGAAGGTTTGGAGTTGCTGAAAGAAGTGAAGGAGTGGGCGACTCCACGAATCGCTATTGTGAATTCTTTTGGATTTGGTGGTACAAATGCTAGTCTTATCTTGAGGGAATATGAAAAATAAGTTTTTTTGATGAATATAAAAGTCGTATTTATGCAATCGCATACTAGATACACACATCCGACCACTGATGATTTGTCTACAGCAAATTTTTTTACGGAGGTGGGATCAGACCTCCCAAAAAGTTTTGAAGAAACAAACAAATGTAAATACATAAATGTACAGAATGAATGAATGAATTATTAAGTGAATGAAAATTGTTCTAACCATTTAAAGAGGTTAATGATTTGTACGTAAATGTCCGCAACAAATTTTTTACGGATATAGAATCACATGACCTTCCAAAAAGAAAATTATTTTTTGGAAAAATGAAAACCAATAAATGCATGTAATGAAGAAATGAAATCGTTGCAATCATTTAACGAGGTTTACTCGTTTTGTACGAACTTGGAAAGATTTTGTTATCGTGCAAATACGGATTGCTCGCATAATTTTAAAATTCATCTGAACCCCTTTCAAATTCGAACCTCCCTCCCTCCCCCTCCCCACCCATCGTACTGCTTCGATTTCTATTTTATCAGTTCTGTCGGATACTTATTCTTATTTACATTTCAAATTATATTTGGCTGAATTTGTTAATTTCACTCATATTGTAATGTTGAAACTGATTGTATCTGTTTTGGAACCTTTTGTAAGCCTTCACGTTGTATTCAATTCAACAGGTTTCATTTATATTAATAAACATATTTGAAAATTAAGCAATAACTTTAAAAGAGAAGAGAGCACTGTTTACACTTCTGAAAACATATAGTCATCTTGCGTGGGAGGTTTTTTGAACAGGAATGAATGCAGTGCACTAATATCCAGTGTGCCCAAAATAGGCTTGTTGATCATCTATACAGTTTGTCATCGACGTTCTATTGTAGTTTTAGGGAATTCAATCAAGCTTTCACGCATGTTGGAAAAGTCACGCGTAGGGGAAGGTCTGTTGAAAGCAGAATGGTAGATATATCTAGCCTAGATCCTATCATTTCTCAAATTTTGTGGTCAGTCGTGGTGGTGCAAGGTAATTATGTTC